GAATATTCTAATTGCAGATCTTTTACCATAAATCGAAATGATCTGCGTTACACAATTTTGAAAAACTCCTGACTGTAATCGAAAGCCGATCTAACATTTTCTGCTAAAAAAAATTTTTTATATACTCTTTGAAGTATAGATTTTTAATAATATTTGGGCTCCTACAGTTCATATCTGTTAACTTTGTTTGCACGTTTATGTTTGATTAAAGCTTGTTACAAGATATATATAATTAAATACTCTACTACTCTATCTATAGGTACGCACTTCGTTAGATGCTTGGTCAATAAGAATGTGATAGATTTTCTTTCATTTATGTATGTACCTTGTTCTAATTAATGAATATGTCAACTATCTATAAATCGAAATATTTAAAATCATTACTCATTTCTCAATTTATCCCTTACTTTATTAATTGTTTCCTATTTATATTAAGGGGCAGATCATGGTCAAGCTTATTATATACCGGATAAAATTTGATCATTGTGTGAATTATATATTTTAAGGCCGACAAACTTTTTAACAAATCTAAAAGTGCGTCATGAATCTGGTAAATCATAAAAAGCCCGAAGTATGGTTTTTCCTTGGCATTACTTATGTATTGAACCTAAATTCAAAATAACAATTTATATATTTTTTCTCTATATAAAGAATAAACGATCATTAACGTGATGGCACTCAAGCTGAAATAAGAACCTTGTTTTTATTGAGAATTTCAACTTAAAATCACAACACAAGGAGATTCCTTTCGACAGATTGGATAACATTCAAAAGGTGAAAAGTTTTAGCAACCCAGTTAGTAAGTTTACAATTTTCATCGCGGATACAATTATCAGCGTTTGAGCATATATGAAACCTGCAGGCACGGAAAATTGTTACAACAGATGAATGCTGCCAAGGGAATAAGACTTTGGGCTTTCAATTTTTCATTTATTATTTATCGGATTCAGCCCTTAAAAAAATCCGATATTACATATTTACGATATGCAATCACGTATCATATATATTACCAATCGAATTTTTCATGGGCTGAATCTGATAAATAATCAATGATAAACTTGAAAGCCCGAAGTCTCATTTCTCTTGGCAACACTCAAAACACTCAAATGATGTTGATTATTGTTTGTGAAAATAAAATCGGATGTCAGAAAGGATGAACATAAGACATCCATTTATTATCAAAATCTGCTAAAATGGGTAGCGCTATGGGAACATATAATGTTGGATATTGTTATTTTAATAGAATTGAGTGGAGTCATCCATGGATGGTGGGTGACCATCTAACTGATTATTGCAAATTAAAAATGCTTTGACTATTTTATCAACATCTAGTAATTATTTCTTAATTTCATATGCATTATCTAAATTTTTCATACTATAATTCATTAGCAGGCTGTTTTTGGATTGTTGCTTAGCTAATCCTATATAGCAATTCGGAGTTCCAAGGGCAAATTCAGGCCTCAACCCAACATCAATATTAACAACAATCTATCATCAAATTAAAGATTTTTCTGGTTGTCATCTTGGTCTTGATAACTCTGATGCCATAATAACTGCAGAAAAATTGTCACCAAGAGTTCGAGTTCGAGTTCGATGTTGGCATGTAACCTAGTGATCAATACTCATATGATCGGGTGATTGTTCAGTCTTAGAAATACGTATATATGTATGATCTTATGAAATACAAGGCCCGAGTGTAAGTATATTGGTATAGTGTAAGTATATCAATATACTATATGAAACTTATGCTGTATTTCAAATAGCTCTATTTAATTTAACAGGTGAAAATAAACCATTAATTGATGTAATAAAGGTAAATTATTCAAGCCTATAGATATTTACCTTTATTCTCAACTAATTCAGTTTTATTGGCTTCTAGATAGTAGCTTCTAGCATAATTGGGATAAAATGGCGGCCAACTCTGTACTCTATTTGAGTGTCACCAAATGAAACCCGTATACCTAAAAATAGTTTACTTATGAATTTCATAAGTGATCTATTTTTAGATTTATGGGTTTCATTTGTCTACGCTCATTCTCCACTTCAGCATGATGTTCGACCTATGTTTTGTACATTCTAATTTCAGCTTTTTTATTTGATTTGATTTTATTTCTTTTATTTTATTTTTAGTTTCTTTTTTTTATTTATTTATTTATTTATTTATTCTTTTTTTTTTTTTTTACCAGGCTTACTAATTAAATGCTAACCAATGATGTTTCTAAGTAATAGAGAAAGAATTGTTGATCATTTCAAAAATTTAGATCAAATCACTAGTCCCATTTAGAAATTTGTAATTAGAGATTTACAACGTTGCTGACCTATTTTGCATATGCGATATAATAATTGTCGTGGCTGAAGCTAAAAATTAGGAACCTCGATTTGGAAATATACAACTGCTTATACATTTTATATCAAAACTAACCCTAAATCCTAAGCTAACTATAAACAAAGCCAAAAAAATATACCCCAAAAAATTTTGAAAATTTTATATTAAATGATTTTAAAATTTTTAGGTTCAGCCGCGACAATAATTATGTACATGCTCGTATCCAATTTTCCTAGATATTCGAACATATTATTCATCAGATCGGACCTTAATCAGTTACTATACTACTACTTAATGCTTAATAATTAATAATTAGCAATTAATAATTAATAATTAACAATTAGTAATTAATGATTAGCAATTAATACTTAATACTTAACTTTAATGCTTATGCTTAATACTTAATAATTAGTAATTAATACTCTATAAAAAAGTTTGTTCAGTTATTGTAGGTATTGTCCAAAAAAATATTTGAAATAGAATTGATTTTTTAAACAGGGTTTATTTTGTACTGTTTTTATATCGATATTTGTATGGGATATAAAAATAAAAAATTTTTTGATTAAAAATTATCATATAAAAAATATATAAAAAAATTTATGAAAAATATATAAAAACATGAACATCCAATAAATATCCTTTAAATGTTCAGAACAGTCAATTTTCTGAACAAAAAATTGAATAATTTTAGAATTTTTTGAATAATTTCAAGAGATTTTTTTATAAGGATGATTAACATTTAATACTTAACAATTAGTAATTACATTTTATGTTTAGCACTATGTAAACTATGCTTAGCTGTAATAATTAGTAATTAGCTCTAAAGATATAAAAAGAATATAAATTTTTTCAAATTAATATTAGATCTGCTTACTATCTAAATAAACACAAAATTTTCTCTTCTTTTAAATTTTCTCTTGTAATATTATAGAATTCTTAAAAATAGAAACCTAATGATAACCTATTTTATATTTCTTAATAAATATATATTTTATTTATAAATTATTGTCTGCCTGAATTGCTACAGAAAAAAAGGTATAGTTTTTACTTAACAAAAAATTATTCTTACCTCTTGGACATTACTATAAACTTGTGAAAGATTTCTGTAACCATGTTATTATTATAGTACTGCTATTAAAAGATTATGATACTATAACAATATTAATATTGATATTCTAATATATCTTTGATTAAGCTAAAAATTTTTATTTTTTATATGAACCCAATTTGTTTTACAGAATTCATATGCCAATATATATCTATTCGACCTGTGTCTGCTCATTATCTGAAATCCTTTTGGTCATTCAATAAATTATCTAATTCTCTAGAAATTACATCACTACCTCTGAACTGAAGGTCTGAAGACAGTGATTTAATTTCTAAAAAATTGGGTAATTTACCAAATGACCAAAAAGATTTTGGGTAATAAGCAGGTGTCCCAAAAATTATGATAATAGCTGTAATACAGTTATAGTTAAGTGTATTATATAGATATCAAGAATGTAATTTATGCAGCATGTAGATCATATATTGAATTAACTCCACTTTAGCTGACCCTAATGTAATAATGAACCAAAAATTAACATCACATGGAAAAATTTATTTCCATTATGGAAGGAATGAATAATAGTTTTATGCTTGATCATTCATCATGGGTTTTGTTATTTATCTTGGGGTTTTCATGAATTTCATCATTCGTCATGAATTTCGACATGCGCCACGAGTTTTGTCATTCGTCATTCGTCAACTTGAATCTGCCTGACACAATGGTTTCGTCATGCGTCAGTGATGCAAGTTGCGTCATACATCAAACACCATTAGATCGTGTTTTATAAAAACGCCTACAAACTCCAAAAAACCATCACAACTGTTTTCATAAATTCTGGGAAGTCAGGCAAAAATTGACCGACCGAATATTTGACGATTCGATAAGTTTGATAAACTTTTGATTCGGATGTGATTACATCTGAATCAAAAGTTTATCAAAGCTTATCGAATCGGTAAATATCCGGTCGGTAAATTTTTGCCTGATTTTCCTGAATTTATGAAAACAGCTGTAACCTGAGTCACAGGCCCAGCCCGGCCCGGCCCGGACCCAAACATGATTAGAAGTTTCGGGTTCGGATCTAGTTTACAGCTGTTTTCATAAATTCTGAAACACCTAATAAAAATCGCCGAATGATTTTTCGGCCGACCCGGTTAAGTAAACGATTTCGGCATGATCGATACATAACAATAAAT